GTCGCATAATCGACCGCAAAGCTGACCTCAAATTGGTCAAACTTTCTGCTTCACTCTGCGGCCATTATGCGGTCCGCAGAGTGACTATGCGGCCGCATAATGGGCCGCAGAAATGCGTTCTTCTGCTAAACATTTTCCTCTAAGTCCGCACGGTACTGTTACCTCCAAAAATTCCGAACCGTGGCTTGCAAGCTCACCGCGAAGAATTTCTACTATAATAATGCAGGAATCTATCTTGGCACCACGAAACCCCGAGTTTTTAGTTTAAATTTTTACGGGTCCTTACAAGTAGGAGGCATCTTCAATCCTCGATGACTCGGGGACTTCGCCCAAGTTTCTTCCCGAGACCCCCTCATCTCGAGATGGAGTCTCTTCAACCTTCACTGATTAAGTGGCCTTTGGGGCCTCGATGCTCATTCACACTAGGGCCACCAGCCCAGAGTCATCTTCTTCCTTTTTTTCGTCTTCCTCCCTTAGACGCCGAACAGAGTCTTCGGTCAGAAGGATGATGTTCTTCTTCGGCTTACGAGCCTTCTTCTTCTTAGGTCCTGGATCCTTGGAGGTTGAGGTCTTTTTCCTCTTTTGTCCTTCACTGGTTTCGGTGCCGGGATCGAAGCCTCCTCCTCACCAGATAAGGGCCTCATGATAGCATCTTTGCCAAGGCCTGTATGAAAGGAAATTAAGTAAGAAATGCTTTAACAAAATTATCAAAGACGTGGAAAAGAGGCTTAACATGATTTTTGGCCTCTCATCGGCCCTTTGATAAATCGCGCCATGAGCGCTCGGCGTACGTAGAGGTCGAGGCCAAGTCCCGAACCCCAGCTCTCTAGCTTAGGAATTGCACCGGGCATCCAAGCGACCACTACATCACGGAAAAGGATATCGATGAGAAGAAGCAAAGGAGCAAAACAATAAATAGGAGCTAACAATAGGATTGTACTTACGCTTTATATTCCATTTCTCGGGAAATGACATCTTCTCGGCCGGGATTAGGTCGGAAGTCCTCACTCGAATGAACCGGCCCATCCAGCCTCGATCCTTGCCATCATCTATGCTCGAGAACAACACTTTGGTAGCCCGGCGCTGAAGTTTTATTAACCCGACTCGATAGAGGCGGGTGCTATACAACCTGATGAGGTGGTAGAGGGTGAACGGCATCCCCTTGACTTTGCTCATGAAAAATCGGTGCAGAATAACAATCCGCTAAAAGGAGGGATAGATTTAACCTAGGGTTATTTGATACTTGCGGCATAAATCGACAATAATGGGATCGAGGGGGCCCAGCGTGAAATGGTAAGTGTAAACACTCGAAAACCCTTCCATGTGGGTAGTGATGTCTTCCTCGGGGGCCGGAATCACCATCTCTTTTCCTTCCCAGTTGCAGTCTTTCTTCACCTGCTTAAGGAAGCTCTCAGTTATCGAGCATATATATCTCGACATTGGCTCGCATCGACCAGGGACCGACGAAGTTTTGTCGGTCTTAAAGTTGGAAGTGAGGACGCACCCCCCCGGAAACACACTCCTCAGGGCATGGCTCCACCGGTGTTTTGTCGCCGGCCGGCCGCGATGAAGAAACGTTTTCCTTTTGAGGAACAGTTTTTGACGTTTTTGCCATTTGGATTTGTAGTTAAAAATAGATGGAGATGATAAGATTTGGTGTTCTAAGAAGAGGTTAGCAGTGAAAATAGTAGATTTGCAGATGAATAACTTAGAAGATGTAAAAAGCTTTGGAGATTAGAAATTTGAAAGTAAAAGTTCGAAATGGTGAAGAGAGGAGCTATTTATAGATTTCACAATGACGTTCAAAATTGGCGGTGGCCAACCATCGACTGACGCGCATTTAATTCCGTGGTAACCGTACAGACGGGACGTTTTGGTCACTTCCGTCACTTACGTCACGAGGATGACGTCATGACATGTCGAGGTAGAAAATCGAAGGCTCAATTCGTTTCTTGTCATTACACTCCAAAAAATTAGGGGACTATCTGTATACGGTTAAAATCGGGCCCACCCGATTTTACTATTTGATCGAGACCGGGAGGTTGCATCGAAGGACGACCTCATAACGGAACAGACTAAATCACGAGGATAAGGTACCGAGTTCAAAATCGAGGTACCTGTCAAGATTGAGGCTACTAGTGATCGAAGCCAAATGGGACAGATATCGAGCAAAATCGAAGATAGCATAATAACAGAAAGGCGAGATATCCGTGACTGGTCGAGGATCATGGCGTAAATCTCGGTGACTGGTCGAAGATCATGGCGTAAATCTCGGAATGGATCAAATCAAAAACGGTTAATCAGCTAATCATGGGATTTTCTTCTGTAAATAGAATTATACCATAAGTGGAATTTCTCTACTACATAAAGGGGGTTCTAATCATTTGTAGCACACACTATTGACAATTATCAAAGCAATATAATTCTCTTTCTCGTTTATACTATTGTTCATCAGCTTGTTATACTTTAATTGTTCTTGCATCAACCAGTTCGAGGGTATCCAAACTCGAGGGCTGAGTTCCATTCTAACACTGGTTTGCTTTACTTTATTGTTAATTTCTATTACTCATCCTCACATCTATCAATTGGTATTAGGTGAAATAACGTGTCCTTAAAACCATGTTATAAGTTTAATTGTTATCCAATTTTAAGGGTAAACAACACCTTTTATATAATTAAATATTAATTATAGATGCAATATACTAAGAATCAATTCTGGTGGAAGTCATATTCTTGCGATAAATTCAGAATAATTGAAATATAAATGCATTGAAGAACAATTCCACATTTTATAATAATACCATTATTATACCAATTATATAATTAAATAGTGATAATTAAATATGTAATATAACAGAATTATTCCGTAAATATATGTATAATATATATATGTTCCAATTAATACATTATATCATTGTTATTATACCGGCTAAATTCCAAATTCATTGGAGTTATATTGATCTTATTTCCAACGGATTGGATACACTTCAAATATTTTCTCGTAATATTTTTGATCTTAATGTTCTTACTTTTCAATTCTTAGTGGTAGTATATATCAATGTACTTATTATATTCATTATATATTATTTCAATATTTGATTATTTTCTCAACTGTTGATTGCTTTATACATGTTTTATCCCAAGTTTATTTATAAATAACTTTTATGAAAGGAAAAGAATCATTGAGATCCTAGTTTGTTCTCAAGCGTGATATATGAAACGTAGTTAATTAGAAATTGAATCGTTTGCGATAATTTAGTAACTGAAAACGTGATTCTTGATCCAATATTATAGGTTTCTGCTAGGATTACAGTTAATTAGTTGCCATATTTGTTAATTGATTATTGCTGCTGGAAGTCTGTAAAATTTTCTTAAATATTGCATAATTATATTTTTTTCCCGTTTCTTCGGTTCGGACCGAAATATGCCCACTCCTAAGCAATCCTCCTTAAAACGTGACACTGATAATTGGGGCACATTATCGATCGCAGTGGATAAATATGATCTAATATAGTGTAAATACTTTATACTATTCGTGTAACGCTTTTAAAAATACTAGACATATTATTTGCAAGTACACCTATTTCCTAATTGCCAGAAATATAAAAAATAAAAGAACCAATTCTGATCATATAGACCAAATGGAAGAGAACGTTTAGGAAACAAAAAAAAAAGAAGGGGG